ATTCGGTATATTAGGTAATTTAAGGTTGGATCTATCGTCAAATTCTCTGGCTGTCTGTCTGGAAGACAATGCGATGCTGTACAACACTTCTATGCCTTTCTTGAAATCGTTGAAATTTCGGAATAATCAAATTCGCGTGATACCCACTAGGTTCGAGTTGCCGTTTGATATGTATATCAGTAATCTACATTTGGGTGAAAATCTTTTTGATTTGTAAAACGCAGTCTCCCAACTTTTTACCCATAGGTGATCGAATGTTTCCAATAGATGGATTGTAAAAAAGTAAAATAAAATTCCTGATTTCAGGGCATTTGAACGATTTCCTGCATTAGAATATCTTGACCTTGCCGACAATCCCATCACCACAATTCATCCTGGAGCTTTTACTCCTCTTCAACTGCGCGAATTGTAAGCCTTTGTTGTAATCTTGACAACTGATTAAAATACGCACTGTTTTTAGGGAAAAGTAAATAACCCAATTTTGTTTTTATTGAGGTTTTGATTAAATAACAGAGTTTACGTCTTTCACAACTTCGTGTGCTAAAATACTGTCAACCTGAATGTAGTATGAGATGTTCAGACATCTGGACACCTCATCATTACTGTGTGACTGTCATCTTGCATGGTTTTCATCCTGGTTTGTCTCTTCCAAGCTGTCACGTCGTACTGTACACACTCGATGTGCCCATCCTTTACCACTCAGTGGAATCGACGTGTTCGCAATCGATGCCAGTAATCTCACATGCGGTCAGTAATCAGGAATTATAATTGGCAGATCCTAGTTGAATATGCAAGTGTTCTTCACTTCCATAAATAGTGTTCTTTTATAAAGTGATTCGTCCATTGTTAGCACAAGAGTTGACGCTGTCTATAAGAGTTGACGTTTGCTATTATAGATTAGAATCAATGCTCTCCAACGATTAACTTTTCAGAATATTCTTTAACAGTCTTATTTTTAAGCGATAGTGTGAAATCTGATCCGCTATATCCGGCACCTTTGCTTGA